TTTTTAGCAACACTGCAGGACTTGCCTTTTTACAAACTCACAGCAGATTTTATTGTGACTCTGATAATGTAGCATTAGGAAGGTAAGCCTTCCAAACGTAGGAGTCAAGTAGCTTTAGAAATTATTGGTGTCTATTTTTTCTGAATTTGAAATAATGTTGAAACGTAATAGTTTACTAAAACTCGGATCACCAATCCCCTAGTTGACGCAGATTTCCTTCGTTTCTTTTCCAAATTTTCCAAAATCACCTGAAATTCATCGTAAAAAAACTTCCATCAAAAGAGCATTTGTAAATTTGGGCGGAGCTGCTAATACTCGAATAAAATCCCAGAAACCCTTAGTTACCATACCTTAAAGACAGAGTCCAGGCAATACCTACCTCCTCCCGCCACTTATAACTTTCCTGAACATAGCTTTTCCAGCAGAGGGGCATCTGCGTTGGTCCGGTCCTCCATTGTTGTCTCTTGGAGATGACAGACCTTGAACCGCGAATGTACTACCAAGCCACGCCCTACGGCTATCAAGCTCGGCCCACCTATGTAGGTGCTGAAATAAGTCTGGGTCTTAAAGATGGGACTAACAGAAAGCGGGTTTATTAGGGGTTTTGCACATTTCAAATTTCATAGCTGTGATCAGAGCCATGGAAAGGCCCCAGAATGACAAAAATATGGAAAACCAAGCTTGAGTGGACATTGCTTTCGACCGGGCATGTACCGATTAAGTTCCACAATCCAGTTCCACATCCACACGATTCCTATGGTTATGTTGCGTCAAGTCTTTTGGGTAGGTAAGTTCCGTTCCCCGTTCCCCGTCAATACACCAAATGACTCGGTATAATATAACAAAACTGCTCACATTTCCTTGAAAAATTCATCCTCCACCGAAGTACACCGAAATCCGCGTTTCCTCTGAAATTTCTTGTCGTTCTCTGAAGTTTTTACGCAATCTCCTACCTTTTGCTAAATGAGAAAAAAACGATCGGGGAACTCAAAAGATCACCATAGTGAAGAAATGGCGAAAAAAAATGTAGTTACTTTTTTTTCGCCTTTTGTCAAGAACGTTTCGGTTTTCTTTTGCAAGATAAAAAAAATTTTTTTTTCATGGATAAATGTCGCAATGACAATGATTTCAAACTTGTATCAATTTTGATAGGATCTAGACAGGTTGGCAGTCTCTTCGTCTGGAACGCCGTTTGAGGAAGTCGTAGTTGGCGAATCCCTCCCCCTTCTCGCTCGCCCAGGGTCCTGGACGGATTCGTCCGCCCGGGTTAAGTGGTCAGCCAGCCCTGGTACTCTCTACCTCCCTCGCGTCCGGGTAAGGGAACAGGAAATCGGAGAGGACTACTCGTCATCAGAAGGAGAACGACCTGCACTCCGGCAGGAGGCTCATATCACCTGTCTCTCTCTTGTCTAGCCAGCTGTATATACGTGTTAAGTTTGTCGTTGTCTTTTTCTAGTTTTTCTAGTTTTCTAGTTTTGGCACACCTTTGGTGTATTTCAAATAATTAAATAAATAAATAGAGTGACACTGACGTCAGCGGCTAACGGAGAAATTCTTCCAAAAAAATTTTGCTCCATTCAGCAATGAAGTAGGTGGGGATATAAATAAAGCAGGCTAGAAAGTTATGTCAGAGCTATGAATAAGACTAGGTAATTGTCACTTATCACTTCGCATGTATACAGGCAATGTAAAGTAGAAAAATAATTGCTCTTATTTACTACATAGCATAAAACTTTCGAAGATGTTTAAACTCATCTGTCGAACAATATAATTGTTGTATAGATGGTAAGTGGAGCTTTTTACGAAAGGTATTCGAGAATTAATTTGATTTGAATAAAAAAAACTGACATCGTAGGTATTTTTGAGACATCTATCAACACCAAATTTAAGCAAATAAAAGTGCAAATTATGATATTAAATCATAAGTATCAGATTCAGTTAGACCATCGAACATCTTTGACAACTGAAATTCAGAAATGCACATGACGTATTCCTCTTTGTCAGCCTGTATCGCCACCATAAGCCAGGCCAACAATGATTTTCGCCTTAACAGGAGAAGGATACTCGGTCGAAGTGGCGTTTCCACAGGAAATGAATATTGTCTTATAGAACATGGAACGCTGATTCCGAATCTGCTTTCGTTATCTGCAAAGCGCTTCTGGGAGGGGAGTTATGGAAATTTTTGACGCAAAAATTTCGAGGCACAGGCACAATAAAATTTTTCAGAACTGTGGTCTGTGATCTTGGAGGGGATCATGATTACTGCCAGGGCGCTTCAAGCAGTTGATACCTCCCTTCTAATAAATTTCAGCTAGTCGTTACCCCCTTCAAGCGCCGGAAAGACCTCAACACTCGTTTTTATCTTAACCAAAAAATTGCCTCAAATTTTGCCTCAAAAAACTGTCATAACTCCCATCCCAAAAGCGCTTTGCAGATACCGAAAGCCGATTCGGAATCAGCGTTCCATGCTCTAAAAAAGGGTGTACTACATTTCCTATGGAAACGCTACTTCGACCAAGTATCTTTTCCTTGTAAGACCGCTGGAAAGTGTATGATTTAGGTAATCAGTTATTTCAACTTGGACGAACTGGTCAAGAATGAAAACTGTTAGGAGTTAGAGCGACAGTAGCTCGGCAAAACCAAACATCTCGAAACTTTGTTGTGGAGAGTTGCTGGTATCCCATACATCAAAACAGAGCAGGTCCGGCCTAGAAAAGTGCCCTTGAACGCGTTCTGAAAGCCATTCTTACACGCGTTCGGACGAGCTTGCTTCCCTTCCAACCGTCAGTGGCGGCATTCCGCACTACTATAAACATGAGGGTCCTGCAACGACTCTAGGTTTCTAACCATGGGGCGGAGTGTTCCACTGGTCCAATTTAAAATGAAGAGCCTCGGAAAATGCTGATTTTCTCCATCTTCGCCCTCTTTAAGATGTATTTTCGGAATCAGGGCCTCGAATTACCTCAGTTAAGGCGAAAAAACTCCAAGTCGAGAATCTGCCGAGCCACTGCCTTTGACGAAAATTTTGGTGCAAGGGGCTTGAATATCAATTTGATGCAATAAGAATTTCTTTCTAAATTTCCGATTTCACTTTTTAATGAAATCGTACGCCCAAAATTTTGGTCTATGATATTGCGCTTTAGAACCAAGTGATTGCGAGCGAACACGGTTTATTCTTGGTAGATAAAGTACTAAACACATGCAAAAGAATGTCAATAACTTTTTTGCTTTGAGTTTTTGAACACTATCCGGTTTTGGGGCCAAGAACTATACCGGTACTGCAGCTTCTCAGATGCCCCTCGTCAGTAAGTTTGGCCTCCAGCCAAAAGCACCACAAACAGATAATCTTTCGCCTTTCACTAAAAATTTTTTTGCAAAGGTGCATCTTGTGAATAATCAGAATTTTCTGGAATCTCCTCAAGAGAGCGAAAAAAATGGCAATGTTTGAGAAAGGAAGCAATTGTTAGATTGTTGCTACTTTGTGGAAACATTTTGTCAGTTATCGTTGGATATTTCCGAAGTTTCTGATTTTACAATGAATCATTTAGTGTAGCAGACTTTGTTTTATTAGTTACGCATTTGCACCAGTTTCAAAGGAGTTCAATGTGTAAAATTTGAAAATTAATTTTGCCTAGATTTTTCAGGTGGCTAGCAATGAATTTTCATAGGTATTGCAATCCATGAGTTCAGCGGCAATAATCAGGGAAAAGACAAATGCGGTATATTCGCGGATTTTTATGGGAAGCGCAAAAAATTTTCCATGAAAATTTTCGGTTTCATGCTGCGTACTTCTATAGCTCTGAGGGGAGAGCTTTTGGTATGATCAAAGCCTTGTTCGGAATTTTATCACAGTGGGAGCTACTGAGGAATTACCTACCTCATTGACTGTCTATCCAATTTGGCTTTAGAATAATAGAGCGAGTCAAACCATACGCACCTACGACGCACATCGAAGGTTATCCGCTTAACCTTCTTGGGTATATCTGTCTACTTTGCATTTAACCGAGAACATCTTTCACCTTTTACCAATGGATACCGTGAAAAGTTGCATTTTATGAGTATTCAGTAATTTTTGAAATAATTAAGATGCTTAATTTTTGAAATAGATAGGATGCTAAGTGCGTTTCTTGCTAGTGTATTTGCTATACCGGTGTACATAGAGATTTGAATAGACAATACCTGCTCTCTACTGCAAATGACCGCGCAAAGTTAAGAAAAATAACAAGGTGTGTTTGATCTACTGAAAAATAAATTCGGTGATTCCCTTATTTCAGCGATAAATACTGTTTCAAAAATATATCGGCGACCGGCAATCGTAATAGGATAGTAACAGAAAACACAAAGTTTTTACTTTAAGAATGAACGAGCACTCTTGAAGCAATTTCACACCTGCGAAGGCATCCCTCATAAGAAAATGTACATCACCTTGTTGATGAACTGCAGAACTTTCCGAAAACGATCGGGCTATCAGGACACATGCAATGACTTCTAGCATTTCAGCAAGCTTTGTAAACTTCTTTTGAAAAATTCTGCATTGCAATATAAACTTTGCTCTATAAACAGCTATGGTGTGGTCTAATTGATCGCTTATCAATCGGCCGACGCGAATGTTCCGGTCAACCTTACATTTAGCCCCTTAATACATTGTGTATGTTTTAGCATTTGTGCTCCTCTTTGAATTTCTCGTCTCGAACTTGTACGTCACTGAATATCTGCTAAGTGAGAACCAAAATTTTTGATTATTATCTTAACGTACTCAATTTTCTTATGTTTGTTTTTTGATCTTTTTCGAGATCCAAATCTGTGCTTGAATTTCGTAGAATCATGCGTTGAAACAAAAAATAAGACTATGAAAATCATTATAACATTCAACAGTTTTTTTTCCTATTTTTTAGGAGTTGGTAATTTTAACACCATTCTGCAGCTATTTAGCATATGTCCATGCAGCAGTGAAGTAGCATTTATGATACTTGATAATTGAAGTGAATATATTTCTATTACAGAATGAAAGAGTACAACTACGAACTTCTGAAAGTGGAATATGTCAGTGACTGTGTTGCCAATGTAAAACTCAACCGACCAAGGCAGATGAATGCTCTGAACCAGAAAATATGGGCGTAAGTTTATTTGCCAGTGCAAAAAAAAAACCACTCAATTTATTTAGCCAAAGCATTAGCTCGTTTTTGCAATTTACGCTTTTTTACAAGCTTTTTTCCCAGGTTCTTGTTTTAACAGTCTGTTTTGGCAGCGCTGGGGTTTTTCGAGGATGTCAAAAAAGAGCCAGAATCATCTAAATTTTCACCATTTTTATGTGGCACAGATTGAGTTCAGGATTGAAGAGTGAGTTCATTGGGACTAACATTGAGACGATAACCTATTCTTATGAGGTCTTTCTTATTGAACCAGTACTAAATTAGGAAAATTCGCTATTATGCTTTTAAAGGCAGTTGATGCTTACAAGAAACTCAAGATTCTAGCTTATTAATGAGATTCGTTCTACCTAAAGTTCTATTTTTCTTTTTAGCGAAATCGGTGATGTGTTCGAGAAGCTGGACGCTGATGAGAACTGTCGTGCCATCGTCTTGACTGGGGAAGGCAAAGCTTTCTGTTCAGGATTGGACCTCAAAGGTAGAAGGTAGATTTTGAGAACAGCATAAGAAATCAGAATCTTTACAGACGGCACCCTGACCGATCTCATTTCTGTGGAGCAAGGTGGTGATGTAGCAAGAAAAGCGAGACTTATTCGCAAGGAAATTCTAAAGATGCAGAAGGCTTTCACTAACATCGAGGAAGTAAGTTATTTGAGTATTTTCGGTCCTACTTGCGAATAAACTGGATTGATTTTGTAATATAGAAGCGTATCAGAGCTTGACATCATGTAATAGGCGATTTATAGCGCACAGAAACATAACGCAACCACGGACGGTGTCTGCGTCTCTCATTTTAACACTCTTTCATCCCATCTAACTGTCTGCTATCTCTCCCACTCGTACTGCCTCGTTCGGCACAAATGCATGCAGTCTCTGCGTGAGATATATTGCCTATAAAAACAAAGAAATCAATGGGAAGTTTCCTATTGAATGATATAGTGTGTTATAAAGTGCGGTTCATAATTATACGAACGCTCAAAATTTTGTAAGTTTTTGGACTTTTTGGGAGAATCTCGAAAAGCTGTTGGTACCACGCGATAGAACACAACCGAAAAAGGTATATGATCCATAAGAATGGAAACTGATGTCACTCTTAGGAGTGTTTTTGCGCCTAATGCAAATTTTTAGCTGTTCATAATTATACGAACACCTCAAACAAAGGTCCATTTTTCATTCAAAATTGCAATCATTTGAGTCTAAATTTTTTGTAAAGTTGCAGTAACAAAGTCTGACATATCTGCTACACACTGAACCCAGTGCATTTCAAAAAGAGGACCATTACTTTTTTTAGAAGGCTCTGAATGCTTTTGGAGTGATTGCACTCCAAAAACATCGGTTCTTCTGTGGTTTACGCGCTCTAATTGGCTTCTACCAAAGCTATGAGATAAAATAAGTTCCTTCGATAGGTATTTTGTTTGACGCTTGGAATATCTCTACGTTTTCGTGCCGTTTTTCAACCAAGTTCCACCTTACCACAGGGTTAGCACGATTTCGAGCCTCAAAACTCAGCTTCTGAAGCCGTACAATGAAGTAAGCATATAGTATGTAAATAGAAGTTTACAAGACTGTGTATTTGGCTAGAAAAAATCAGCAGCGTTGAGCGTTTGTTTTAGTCACGCAGACGTCATTTCACCAAAAACATGTTTTTACTATTGCAATCACACCTTTATTTGGTTTGTAGCTCCACAGCTTCAAGATCAGTTCCACAAAAAACCCAAAAACTTTGGCACAGAAACAACATCATGCAAACAATGCAGCTGCTTCATATCAAATGTTTGTGCGAGAGAGAAGCTGAGTTTTAAGGCTCAAAATCGTGCCAACTTTAGGATAAGGTTAAAACTTGGTTGAAAAACGGCACGAAAATGCAAAGATTTTCCGAGCGCCAAACAAAATATCTATCAAAAGAGCTTGATTTATCTCATAGATTTAGTAAAAGCTAGTTAGAGCACGTAAACCACAAAAGAACGGATGTTTTTGGAGCGCAATCACTTCAAAAACATTTAAAGCCTTCTGGAAGAAGTAACGGTCCTCTTTTTGAACTGCACTGGGTTCAGTGTGTAGCAGATATGTCAGACTTTGTTACTGCAACTTTACAAAAAATTTGGACTCAAATGATTGCAATGTTGAATTATAAATGGACCTTTGTTGGAGGTGTTCGTATAATTATGAACCGCTAAAAATTTGCATTAGGCGCAAAAACACTCCTAAGAGTGACATCAGTTTCCATTCTTATGGATCATATGCCGTTTTCGGTTGTGTTCTATCGCGTGGCATCAACGGTTTTTTGAGTTTCTCCCAAAAAGTCCAAAAACTTACAAAATTTTGGGTGTTCGTATAATTATGAACCGCACTTTAGTTTTTTTTTTCATGAGATTTAGTTGTGCAACCCTTTTAACCCAAGTTTTTTGCTTTGATACAGTTAATAGTAAAACGTTTAGTGCTGCAAACCTGTAATCGCTGCCGTGCATGGAGTGTGCTTTGGCGGTGGAATCGACATCATATCAGCGTGCGACATTCGTCATTGCACACAAGATGCATTATTTTCCGTAAAGGTAAGAATTACGGCACAGTTGTGTTTGGTGTACCCATGTCTGCGGACATTTAACCGAGTAAATTTTCTTAAAAATGATTTCTAGGAAGTGGACGTGGGTTTGGCTGCTGATGTGGGCAGTTTGAACCGGCTGCCGAAAATATGTGGCAATGAAAGTTGGCTGAAAGAGGTTTTACTCATATTTTACTCCTACCTTTCGTACTCATTTTTGCAAAAAAAAAATTGATACGCTATATCTCACGGCGAGATTGTAAAATAAATTCAAAAGGGTAGTTTTGGAATAGTTCTAACCATAAGAAGCAATGAATGACAAAGTATTGATAAGAATATGAATCCAAGCGTCACTGCCGCGCTATCCATTTTTTTGCGAAATTTTAGGGTTACAAGCTTGCGAAAAATATAAGAAGCCTACCAAATTTTTTCTTGTATAATGTGTTTAACGTCACGCCCATATGTAGCTAACTTTTTTGATGTAACCACTTTCAGGTTGCTCTCACAGCTCGGAATTTTGGCGCTGATGAGGCTTTGAAGTTCGGTAAGATGTTCTGCTTGTTTGATTGACCTAACCTGCCGGTAACTGCACTTTATGGTCAGATCTGGTTAGTCGCGTATATGCCACACAAGAAGAAATGGTGAAGGGAGTGTTGGATATTGCTACAAAGATTGCTGAAAAAAGTCCAGTAGCCGTGCAAGGTACAAAGGTGAGATCTGCAAGCCAACTCTTCACGTTTTTTTCTAGAAGAATCTTTGTTATTCTAACTGAAATAATGAAAAGAACGGAGAGAACTCAGCCTTTACCAACAAGTTTGATTTTTCTAGATCGTATTGAACTACTCTCGCGACCACACAGTGGAAGAAGGTTTACAGTTTGTTGTAAGTTTTTTGTATTAACAAAAAAGACAATCGTTCCATATCCATACATCTTCCAAGAAGACCAAAATTCCTCACAAATATAAGTTAAAATGGAGTACATAGAATGTTTGCTTTCAGGCTACCTGGAATCAATCTCAGTTGATGACAGAAGATATTCCAAAGAGTGGGCTAGCCGTTATGACCAAATCCCCTATGCCACCTTTCGCAAAGATATGATAGGATCTGCTAATAAAGTTTTATTTCCAGTAATGTTGATAGTTATTTGACTTGCTGAGAAATTAAATTGAAAAGGAGTGGGTAAGGCCAGTGCTTTGCTCCTCTTACTCACTCCCTCCATGGAAGAAGTTGCGAGTTTTCAAGAATTTCATACCCGTATTCTTATAGTGGAAATTAACTACAAAAGGTGATGCTGTATTCAATAATAATTAAGGACAACAAATCAGTACTACCAAAATAAACACTGCCTTCAAAGTTCGTTGATCGAGCACAGGATGTTTATGAATGGAATTGCTTTGAAGAGTATAGTCTAACATATAATGGTATAAAAGCTGGACAAATTGACCTACACCAAAACATATTTCTCATTAACCAATGTTGAAACAAACGTGGACCTTTGCGATTGCTGGAGTAGGTGAACTGAGTGCACAGCTGAATCAGCTACATGAAAAGGAATTGCACTCTTTTGTGCTGTCTGAAATCATGTACCTCCTTTTGGAAAATGTTTTGACTAACATCCACTTGATAGATTTCGTAACCTCTTCAGACTACAACTCGAATCTCGAAAAGCGCTAGCCTAAGATGAGGCAAGTGTGGCATTTTATTTTTTTCTCTAACAATAAGTATACGGTGGCAAAATATTTGGTACACACATTGAAATAGTAAAGCTTAGCATTCAGCTTTTGAGCGCCACTTTGATCGCACTCTTCAGCGGCCTTTGAGCACTTGTTCTGCATCACAAATTCGCCTCACAAAATCATAAAAACTGCTTCTGTCGTTTGGAAAATCACCTTGACAGAGCTAAATTTCAACTACAACATACTGTGAGGAAGTTTTCTATGAATTTAAAAAGTAAAAAATAGTAGAAGTTAAACGCAGCAATGTGTACATCACGCACTAAAAGTGAGCAAAGAAAAATTGGAAAACCGAAGCAGGCCTGAGATTGCTGAATCAATGCAGCTAAACCACATGCTCACTTAAAAGACCTATGAAAATGGAGCTTTAGACCCGCTCAAAAAGACCTATACAAATGGAGCCTTAGAGTCTTGAATTTTCAATAGACTCTCAATTCGTTTTGAAGGTAAAATGGACACTTACATGCAGGTAACATGACAGTTTTCTGACCGTCGTTCTTTGATAAATACAAAGCCTTTCTAGATTGCGGGCATCAAAAATCAACAACTTATTTGTTGCGATTCTTAGAGCATTTCCGACAATGACACCTGCAACGACGTATGATTTCGCACAAGATGATTGCGGCATTCCGTGGAATGACAATTTGTGATGCTAAAGGTAAATTTACTCCACCGACTTTTGCCGCACTCTGAAATATGTAAGGACAACATATATGACATTCATAGTACAGAAATGACAGTTACATCTGTGTACACTTGCGTGGTTATAAATTCGTGAAAACACAAATGAGTGCATATCTATTCATTAAGTCGTGTTCAAGTGAGAGATCCACCAACATCTATGTCGCATTCCTCCTCTTCTAAGTCTCGCGTCTCAATTTCCTTCAAAAAATCAGACACAACCTTTGATGAGCGCTGTTTACAGCGTAATCATTCACTGATCTAACGCATGATGTGACGTGAGTAGTATTCAGGTTGTCCCATAAGTTCCATCCGTTTTCACTTTTCATCCCAAAAACTGCAACATTTCTTGGTTATCAAGAAAGCTCTGGGGTCTTTCGATAGAGCAAAGCAAACTTTACAAAGTGGCTCCTAAACATTTGCTCAAAGTTCATTCTACATTAAATAAAAATCGAAATCTAAAAGGTTTTCAGAAATCGAAAACTCGACAGAACTTATCCACGCATATACATGCCTCATCTAACAATCATATGCACACTTGCCGTATTTTTTTCATTGCTAGCAATCGAGAAGACGAATATTGGCATGTTCCAAAGCGATGAGCAGCTTGTATACAGATGATTCTATAGCTAAAGCTTGTGGAAGTATAACCACGAATTTTTAGCCTTCTGCAGGTGATAGTTATCGAGGAAATTCGAAATTAGTGTGAAAAACCCGAAAAAAAGCGACATTTTCGTATTTTTGGTCTGTTTTTGTTTCTTAGTTCCTAGCACTGGAGAAAATATAGCAAATGTGCATTAAAAAATCAGATGAAGATCGCAGCTTATTACATGTACAAGTTAGAGCCTCCTAAAGATTTTTTAAACAGAGTTCTGAATTTTTTTCGATTTTCGGGTTCCCGAAAGTGTTTAGATCTTAATTCTTAACTCCCACTTCGTAGAGTTTGCTTTGCTCTATCGAAGGGTATACTGAGGCTAGAGAAGAATAGGAGACGGATGAGAAATGAATACGGACGGAACTTATAGGACAACTTAATATATGCGCTGTATTGGAGCTTCACTTAAAATGTTGAATTTCCTAAAATCTATAGAAGTGTAATATCTTTGAAGAATTCCATGAAGTTTGCCATTCTTGTACTTTATCTTTGTATGCTTGGTTCGAAAAAAATGAAAAAAAACTAAGTTAACACGATCCAAAGCCACCATTTTTCACGAATTAAGTATGTATTAGGACTTCCCATCAAAGTTTCGCGGCTTGCGCAGCTTATAAGGAACGTAAGATTTGACTCAAAATGTTAAAGAACTATTCTGCAACGAAGGCCTTATCATCTACGGTAGACATACAACAATACAATATTATCTTTATTGTAACGTAGGGTGGTTTCCTTCAACATTGGTTGATGTTATGTTTTGAATATGAAATTACGATAATGAAACGTGAAGATACTCTATTTTTAATTGCAATCCGTTTGCTGAACACCTGTTTATGGATATGAGAATTGCCACATGCACTACCATTCATCAGAATCAGTAAATGAAATTCACTGTTTTGTCTTGTTTTGATTTGAGAAAGATTAACTTTCAATCATCATGTTTGTAATTTGATGAATTTCGTCAGAGCCCTCACTTTCAGAAGATTTGCAGACTTTCTGAACAGTATGCTCTTCGACAAACTATTGCTGTTTGTACTTGTGGTATCTGTGTACGGTGCGCGGTACAAGTGCAGAACTAGATGGCCTTCCCATGTCTCGCAGGAACTAAGCCAGGTTAGAAGCTTTTCAAAATCAAATTGTGTCAAAGAATTTTGTTTTACAGTGTATACAAAAGTGCTTGAGGGACAAGATTCAAACAGGCACCGTTTCTTGCGACCAATGTAGGGCGTACCTGGACTGCGTTGCGAACGTTTGCAAAGATCACCTGAAGACTGACGAAAGAACACCGATCGGATACAGCCAGACATTTATAAACGTCACCCGTTCGGTGTGCGAAGATTGTACAGGCGAACAATGTTTCTTTTAAGGAAATGAAGGATTTGAAATGTTGAACATAATCTTGATCGGGAAGGCATGCATGAACGCTGAATTTTGGCGATTTTAAGAGTTACCAAATTAGTTTCGTTTATCAAAATCACATGGTATTCAAATTTGTATCTTTTTGGCAATCATATTTTAACTTCTCATTCGTTTTTATTATAAATTATGCGGCTTCCCTTCTGATCTTTTTTATAAAGGTGAAAATTAAGAAGCGCTTGTTGAGAATACTGCAAATGAGGTAACAACACTGTAAAAACCAAAAGGTGTTTTAGGTGAAGCAAGAGCTTTACTTATACAATTGTCGTTGTGGAGATTACAGTAAGCTTAGACACAACCACCATACTATGTCACAGCAAGATCAGCGCTTCAAACTCTCTGAATAAGGAGATTGTTGTTGGTAGTTCATTCTGGGTAGCTTTTTAATAGCATTATACATAGTAATGGCATCAATAATGAAAAGAGGTACATCTACTATAAGAATACCCATCAACTTTTATGTAAGCCGATTCTATATCACCCCCGCATATGAACGAATCCCTTTTGTGGAACAAAATGGAGTAGACCTAAGCCTGGCTTTCAAAGGGAATTTCAAGGGATGAAAAAGTGATTGAACAAACTCTAAGCTGGAATGTTATGGACAATCTCCTCTCACTAACGATTGAGTTTAGCTGAGAATATCAATATTTTAAATTGGATACCAATTTTGGATTTCAAGGTCGTGGGATTCCGAAAGAA